AAAATGGTTATTTTTCCCGCGCGTAATGGAAATATCTACAAAATTTGCGAACTCCACAGGGCTATATTTTCCTCATTTTACAACAATTCGCAACCAAACTTTACTCATTTTAAGATGCTCTTTCCAGCTACGGTAATGGTTCCGTTCTTCTTGTCTAGATCAAAATTTCGGCTATGCCTAGAATCACCCATAATTGAATTGTAATACTGATACCTGATCGAGAACAATAAACAGAAGATCAAAACGGGACAAGAGAGAGTCCTGCATACCAATGTTGTCCATCGGGTTCTTGTATTGATCATACTGATCATAAAAATGAATAGAAATACAAAATTAAAGTAAACCTAGGAAAGCAGACCACGTTTAATAAACAGAAATATTTGAAAAGCCTCACCCTTCCCCAGACAGGATTAGCGGCAGCGAGTACGGAACATCTCGCATTCAACTTGGCGTGAATACCAGCTTTTGAAATCGTCACCCTGCCTTGTTCCATTACCTCGTGGATAGCTGTACGATCTATGTCGCTCATCTAACAGAAAAATAATTTTACCATAGTTCTGTTTTCCCGTTCATAACTCATTCTCTTATATTCCATTCCGTGAGAATCACCCGGTGTTACATTCCTTTTCATTCTTATTCTATTTTTAATTCAATTCTCTTTCATTTCATTCTCTTTCATTTCAATTCTCTTTCATTTCATTTCATTTCATTTCATTTCATTTCTCTTTCATTTCATTTCTCTTTCATTTCATTTCATTTAATTCTCTTTCATTTCATTTCATTTAATTCTCTTTCATTTCATTTCAATTCTCTTTCATTTCATTTCATTTCAATTCTCTTTCATTTCATTTCATTTCATTTCATTTCAATTCTCTTTCATTTCATTTCAATTCTCTTTCATTTCATTTCATTTAATTTCATTACAATTCTCTTTCATTTCATTTCATTTCATCCTATGTTATTCTACTTCATTCTACCTTATCAAATTCGTCAATGCAGACAATTCCCCGGTCAGCAAGAACCATAGCACCAGCTTCCAGTCTTTTATCTCCTGCAAAAATAAATTTTACCCATCGCTATTTCAATGAAGAACTTTAATTTTCACTAAAAAAAACGCGGTAAGATTTGCGCACTAGTTCAGTTATGTTACCAGTGTGCAATAGAACGGGATTCCCTATCAGTTCTAAATTGTTATCCATAAAGGTCCAGTAAAGATCATCTCTTATTGATTCAGTTTAGGAGGAAACCTAAATTAAACTGACTTTATTTAAACCGGATAGCTCTATCATTTCTGAACTGTTCTCCCTAGAGGTCCAGTAAGTATCATCTCTTATTGATCCAGTGTTAATACAGAAGTAAACCTAAACAAAAATAACTTTATTTATACTAGATAGCTCTATCAGTTCTAAACTGTTCTCTCTATAAAAGTCAAGTAAGAGCAATCTCTTATTGATCGAGTGTTTACAAATTACAACAAAAGAAAAATTCGGCCAACTGGTAACGAAACAGGTTGCCGAACCATCCAAATTTCATGTATTATTATTTGCATTATAAAACGGCGGTGAAAATCGTTCCATATACCATCGCGTTGAAGTCCTCTCTACCAACCTGTTTCAGGGTCGGTGGTGACAGCAGCAGTGAGACCAACACCAGACGAACCACGCCCTGTAGTAGCGATAGCACGTGGTGCAGAGTGTAGCACATATCGCAACATTTGAGACTTGGCTGTTGATGGATCACCAATCAAGAGAATGTTTATGTCCCTAGTGAAGAATATAAATCATATGTCATGCTTGTTAACAAGTTGTCACAATACTGTTCCAACAAGTTGTCAACAATATTTTTCGCAACAGGCTTGTAGCAAGCTTGTTAACAAGTTGTGACAATGCTGTTCGAACAAGTTGTCATCAAGACTTTTCCCGACAGGTTTGCAGCAAGCTTGTTCACAAGTTGTGACAATACTGTTCCAACAACTTGTCAACAATATTTTTCGCAACAGGCTTGTAGCAGACCCGTTAACAAGTTGTGTCAATGCTGTTCCAACAAGTTGTCATCAAGACTTTTCGCGACCGATTTGTAGCAAGATTGTTAACAAGTTACGACAATGCTGTTCCAACAAGTTGTCAACAAGATTTTTCGCGACAGGTTTGTAGCAAGTTTGTTAACAAGTTGTGACAATGCTGTTCCAACAACTTGTCATGAAGACTTTTCGCAACAGACTTGTAGCAAGCTTGTTAACAAGATGTGACAATACTGTTCCAACAAGTTGTCATCCAGACTTTTCGCGACAGGTTTCCAGCAAACTTGTTCACAAGTTATGACAATGCTGTTCGAACAACTTATCATCAAGACTTTTCCCGACAGGTTTGCAACAAGCTTGTTCACAAGTTGTGACAATACTGTTCCAACAACTTGTCAACAATATTTTTCGCAACAGCCTTGTAGCAAGTTTGTTAACAAGTTGTGTCAATGCTGTTCCAACAACTTGTCATCAAGACTTTTTGCGACAGGTTTGTAGCAAGCTTGTTAACAAGTTGTGAAAATTCTGTTCCAACTTGTCAACACGACTTTTTGCGACAGGTTTGTAGCAAGCTTGTTAACAAGTTGTGACAATACTGTTCCAACAACTTGTCATCAAGACTTTTTGCGACAGGTTTGTAGCAAGCTTGTTAACAAGTTGTGACAATACTGTTCCAACAACTTGTCATCAAGACTTTTTGCGACAGGTTTGTAGCAAGCTTGTTAACAAGTTGTGACAATACTGTTCCAACAACTTGTCAACAAGACTTTTTCCGACAGGTTTGTACCAAGCTTGTTAACAAGTTGTCACAATACTGTTCCAACAACTTGTCAACAAGACTTTTTGCGACAGGTTTGTAGCAAGCTTGTTAACAAGTTGTGACAATGCTGTTCCAACAACTTGTCATCAAGACTTTTCGCGACAGGTTTGTACCAAGCTTGTTAAGAAGTTGTCACAATACTGTTCCAACAACTTGTCAACAAGACTTTTTGCGACAGGTTTGTAGCAAGCTTGTTAACAAGTTGTGACAATGCTGTTCCAACAACTTGTCATCAAGACTTTTTGCGACAGGTTTGTAGCAAGCTTGTTAAAAAGTAGTGTCAATGCTGTTCCAACAACTTGTCAACAAGATTTTTCGCAACAGCCTTGTAGCAAGTTTGTTAACAAGTTGTGTCAATGCTGTTCCAACAACTTGTCATCAAGACTTTTTGCGACAGGTTTGTAGCAAGCTTGTTAACAAGTTGTGAAAATGCTGTTCCAACTTGTCAACACGACTTTTCGCGACAGGTTTGTAGCAAGCTTGTTAACCAGTTGTGACAATATTGTTCCAACAACTTGTCAAGAAGACTTCTCGCGACAGGTTTGTAGCAAGCTTGTTAACAAGTTGTGTCAATGCTGTTCCAAAAACTTGTCACCAAGACTTTTTGCGACAGGTCTGTAGCAAGCTTGTTAACAAGTTGTGACAATGCTGTTCCAACAACTTGTCATCAAGACTTTTTGCGACAGGTTTGTAGCAAGCTTGTTAACAAGTTGTGACAATACTGTTCCAACAACTTGTCATCAAGACTTTTCGCGACAGGTTTGTCCCAAGCTTGTTAACAAGTTGTCACAATACTGTTCCAACAACTTGTCAACAAGACTTTTTGCGACAGGTTTGTAGCAAGCTTGTTAACAAGATGTGACAATACTGTTCCAACAACTTGTCAACAAGACTTTTCGCGACAGGTTTGTAGCAAGCTTGTTAACAAGTTGTGACAATGCTGTTCCAACAACTTGTCAACCAGACTTTTCGCGACAGATTTGTAGCAAGCTTGTTAACAAGTTGTGACAATGCTGTTCCAAAAACTTGTCAACAAGATTTTTCGCAACAGGCTTGTAGCAAGTTTGTTAACAAGTTGCGACAATGCTGTTCCAAGAACTTGCCAACAAGATATCTCCTCAACAGGCTTGTAGCAGACCCGTTAACAAGTTGTGACAATGCTGTTCCAACAACTTGTCATCAAGACTTTTCGCGACAGGTTTGTAGCAAGCTTGTTAACAAGTTGTGACAATACTGTTCCAACAACTTGTCGACAAGACTTTTTCCGACAGGCTTGTAGCAAGCTTGTTAACAAGTTATGACAATGCTGTTCCAACAACTTGTCATCAAGACTTTTTGCGACAGGTTTGTAGCAAGCTTGTTAACAAGTTGTGTCAATGCTGTTCCAACAACTTGTCATCAACATTTTTTGCGACAGGTTTGTAGGAAGTTTGTTAACAAGTTGTGTCAATGCTGTTCCAACAACTTGTCATCAAGACTTTTTGCGACAGGTTTCTGGCAAGTTTGTTAACAAGTTGTGAAAATGCTGTTCCAACAACTTGTCAACAAGACTTTTTGCGACAGGTTTGTAGCAAGCTTGTTAACAAGTTGTGACAATACTGTTCCAACAACTTCTCATCAAGATTTTTCGCGACAGGTTTGCAGCAAGTTTGTTAACAAGTTGTGACAATGCTGTTCCAACAACTTGTCATGAAGACTTTTCGCAACAGACTTGTAGCAAGCTTGTTAACAAGATGTGACAATACTGTTCCAACAACTTGTCAAGAAGATTTCTCGCAACAGACTTCTAGCAAGCTTGTTAACGAGTTATGACAATACTGTTCCAACAACTTGTCAACAAGACTTTTTGCGACAGGTTTGTAGCAAGCTTGTTAACAAGTTGTCACAATACTGTTCCAACAACTTGTCAACAATATTTTTCGCAACAGGCTTGTAGCAGACCCGTTAACAAGTTGTGACAATACTGTTCCAACAACTTGTCATCAAGACTTTTTGCGACAGGTTTGTAGCAAGCTTGTTAAAAAGTTGTGACAATGCTGTTCCAACAACTTGTCATCAAGACTTTTCGCGACAGGTTTGTACCAAGCTTGTTAACAAGTTGTCACAATACTGTTCCAACAACTTGTCAACAAGACTTTTTGCGACAGGTTTGTAGCAAGCTTGTTAACAAGTTGTGACAATGCTGTTCCAACAACTTGTCATCAAGACTTTTTGCGACAGGTTTGTAGCAAGCTTCTTAACAAGTTGTGAAAATGCTGTTCCAACTTGTCAACACGACTTTTCGCGACAGTTTGTAGCAAGCTTGTTAACCAGTTGTGACAATATTGTTCCAACAACTTGTCAAGAAGACGTCTCGCGACAGGTTTGTAGCAAGCTTGTTAACAAGTTGTGTCAATGCTGTTCCAAAAACTTGTCATCAAGACTTTTTGCGACAGGTTTGTAGCAAGCTTGTTAACAAGTTGTGACAATGCTGTTCCAACAACTTGTCATCAAGACTTTTTGCGACAGGTTTGTAGCAAGCTTGTTAACAAGTTGTGACAATACTGTTCCAACAACTTGTCAACAAGACTTTTTGCGACAGGTTTGTAGCAAGCTTGTTAACAAGTTGTGACAATACTGTTCCAACAACTTGTCATCAAGACTTTTCGTGACAGGTTTGTAGCAAGCTTGTTAACAAGTTGTGACAATGCTGTTCCAACAACTTGTCATCAAGACTTTTCGCGACAGGTTTGTAGCAAGCTTGTTAACAAGTTGTGACAATACTGTTCCAACAACTTGTCAACAAGATGTCTCCGCAACAGGTTTGTAGCAAGTATGTTAACAAGTTGTGAAAATGCTGTTCCAACAACTTGTCATCAAGACTTTTCGTGACAGGCTTGTAGCAAGCTTGTTAACAAGTTGTGAAAATGCTGTTCCAACAACTTGTCATCAAGACTTTTCGTGACAGGCTTGTAGCAAGCTTGTTAACAAGTTGTGAAAATGCTGTTCCAACAACTTGTCATCAAGACCGTTCGTGACAGGCTTGTAGCAAGCTTGTTAACAAGTTGTTGCAATGCTGTTCCAACAACTTGTCAACAAGACTTTTCGTGACAGGCTTGTAGCAAGCTTGTTAACAAGTTGTGAAAATGCTGTTCCAACAACTTGTCATCAAGACTTTTCCCGACAGGTTTGTAGCAAGCTTGTTAACAAGTTGTGAAAATGCTGTTCCAACAACTTGTCATCAAGACTTTTCGTGACAGGCTTGTAGCAAGCTTGTTAACAAGTTGTGAAAATGCTGTTCCAACAACTTGTCATCAAGACTTTTCGTGACAGGCTTGTAGCAAGCTTGTTAACAAGTTGTGAAAATGCTGTTCCAACAACTTGTCATCAAGACCGTTCGTGACAGGCTTGTAGCAAGCTTGTTAACAAGTTGTTGCAATGCTGTTCCAACAACTTGTCAACAAGACTTTTTGCGACAGGTTTGTAGCAAGCTTGTTAACAAGTTGTGACAATGCTGTTCCAACAACTTGTCATCAAGACTTTTTGCGACAGGTTTGTAGCAAGCTTGTTAACAAGTTGTGAAAATGCTGTTCCAACTTGTCAACACGACTTTTCGCGACAGTTTGTAGCAAGCTTGTTAACCAGTTGTGACAATATTGTTCCAACAACTTGTCAAGAAGACGTCTCGCGACAGGTTTGTAGCAAGCTTGTTAACAAGTTGTGTCAATGCTGTTCCAACAACTTGTCATCAAGACTTTTCGTGACAGGTTTGTAGCAAGCTTGTTAACAAGTTGTGTCAATGCTGTTCCAACAACTTGTCAACAAGACTTTTCGTGATAGGTTTGTAGCAAGATTGTTAACAAGTTGTGAAAATGCTGTTCCAACAACTTGTCATCAAGACCTTTCGTGACAGGCTTGTAGCAAGCTTGTTAATTCGTGACAGGCTTGTAGCAAGCTTGTTAACAAGTTGTGACAATGCTGTTCCAACAACTTGTCAACAAGATGTCTCCGCAACAGGCTTGTAGCAAGCTTGTTAACAAGTTGTGACAATACTGTTCCAACAACTTATCATCAAGACCGTTCGTGACAGGTTTGTAGCAAGCTTGTTAACAAGTTGTGACAATGCTATTCCAACAACTTGTCATCAAGACCGTTCGTGACAGGTTTGTAGCAAGCTTGTTAACAAGTTGTGACAATACTGTTCCAACAACTTGTCAACAAGATGTCTCCGCAACAGGTTTGTAGCAAGTATGTTAACAAGTTGTGAAAATGCTGTTCCAACAACTTGTCAACAAGGTATCTCCTCAACAGGTTTTTAGCAAGCTTGTTAACAAGTTGTGACAATGCTGTTCCAACAACTTGTCATCAAGAGTTTTCGCGACAGGTTTGTAGCAAGCTTGTTAACAAGTTGTGACAATGCTGTTCCAACAACTTGTCATCAAGACTTTTCGTGACAGGTTTGTAGCAGGCTTGTTAACAAGTTGTGAAAATGCTGTTCCTGTCAACAAGATGTCTCCTCAACAGGTTTGTAGCAAGCTTGTTAACAAGTTGTGACAATGCTGTTCCAACAACTTGTCAACAAGATATCTCCTCAACAGGTTTGTAGCAAGCTTGTTAACAAGTTGTAACAATGCTGTTCCAACAACTTGTCAACAAGAAGTAAATTGTCACAATGCTCGGCCGGAATTCCGGCCGGATTTAACGAATTTTCCGGCACCCGGCCAGATTTGGAGAAAATCCGGCCGAATTTAAATTTCTGTTTTCACCTTAAAAACTCACCAAGAATGGGATAAACCATCAATTTGGCAGCTTTAAAGTTTAAAAAACACTTATATTATTATAAAATATTAAGTTATTAACAAAAAAAATATTTAAAAAAGGTTTAAAAACCGTCATTTTGAATACTGATTTATCCCCAATTGTCCCCATTACCGGTTTATCTCAAATCTGGCAAATCCGGCCGGAATTCTTCCGGAATTTATGTCAAAATCCGATAAATCCGGTTCCAGCCGGATTAGGTGACACAAGTCTGCAAGGTTTGATTGGTAACATGGACCAACAACAGCTGCTACAGTTGCTTGGTAGTGGTCAGGGTATGGCAGGTCTTACCAGCCTCGCTGGTTTGACGTCCCGAGGTTCAAGTGCTGGTAGTACTCAAGCTAGCAGACCTAGTGACAGCGAGCCACCAGCTACAGCAGCTAGCTCACAGTATGTAAACACAGAGTTTTTCTTTGGGAAGGAGATCCATGAATCTGGCCAATACATGATATATCACTCCTAGATTGCTTATAAAGTTAACTGTGCCCATACAAAACTTGAATGTCCCTGAATTTGAAAACAAAAATTCAAGGCCTTGAATTTGTAAAGAAATATTTGAAAGTCCTTAAATTTTTCTTGCTTTAGTTTTTGGATATTTTCTGAAATTGTTTGACATTTAAAACAGACATTTTGTTGAATTGATTTTGCATGTTCATGTTTGATTTCTAACCCCTATTCTTCAGTATTAGCCTTGAATTTGCTGATACATGTCCTTGAAAAGTCTTTGAATTTGACACTCTCGGACATGTACGAACCCTGAGTCAATGTGAACAACATATATTGTCTTGCAAGAAAGGTGCGGATTAACTGCCTGGACAACACAATCTTGGAGTTTTGTCTGTATTTTTCAGGCAGTTGAAATCCCCCTCATGAAACAAGGCTAGGAAACAATGGTCCCTAGTTTACCCTCCCTCAGTCTTTATGAATATTTTGCACACATCGACTTACTTCACTTGGCATTGCACCCTGACGTGCCATACTTTATTATTTTACTGCGTCTAATGCCAGACTATTTTACTTGTCAAGTGGAGAGCACTGGCACTGAATGGGTTAATTAAACAAGCTTTATACTGGATAGCTCTATCAGTTCTAAACTGTTCTTCTTAGAGGTCCAGTAAGGGTCATCTATTAATAATCCAGTGTTACTACAGGAAGAAACCTAAACTAAGCTAACTTTACAGTATTTATACTGGATAACTCTATCAGTTCTAAACTGTTCTTGCTAGAGGTCCAGTAAGATTTTTTCCTTACACTATTCACTATGCATTACTATTTTGAGCTAAGCAATACTCACTGGTTGAGAAATATTTTGCAGAGGTTTTGCAGGCGGAGCAACAGCAGGTGTTGTTAAGAAACGATTTAATTCTTTTACCTTTTAAGTGGTACAAAAACTAATAATTTAACGGCTTCATTTACCTCACTTTTCTCAGAATCAGTTCTCGGCTGTAACCTTGACTCGGGAACAACGCATGGTAACAAAAGCCATCTGAAAAAGAAAATTGCCTCGCAAGGGGAATAAATTGAAAATTTTGTGATTTTCGTACCGGTCTCATGTAAACATGTTGACAATTCCAATTTTCATGAGTAAACGTTTAACACTTTAACTACGTGCATTTCCAAACTGTTCTCCCTAGAGATCCAGTCGTACATTATTGGTCTTGTGTCACTAATGGAAGAATGCGGAAAACTTGGTCTCGGGGAAAACCTGCATCTCTTCTCACATGTGACTGAGGAGAAATTCTTATCAGACAACAGCGTATTGCAGGAATCAAACCTCGCTCACAGAGATGAATGACACATACACTTGATATAAGCTTGGTTTACACGTTCAAAGTTTCTGTGATCACAGTAGAAATTTTGCAACGGTAAATTCTAAGTTTTCAAGGATTTGTAAGAAATGTTTGAGGGATCTGACTTAGTGTTAAACACCGAGTCAGATCCCTCAAACATTTCTTCCAAATCCTTCAAAACTTCGAATTTACCTTTGCAAAATTCCTACTGTGATCACAGAAACTTTGATTATGTAAACCAGCCTCAGCTTACTGCGTCCCCAACAGAAACCTTTATCATTTATCATGGCAACAGTTGCTGGGTTGAAATGCGTAGGCAAGTCATGCGTGGGCGAAGTCGCAAAGTAAATACTTAATGCATGAATAGCTTGAAACCTATACAAACACAAATTCAAAATTTCCAAAGTTCCAAAGTTCCAAAGGGTTATGATGAATATCATCGAAGGTCACTTCTCGGCTTACCAATTTAATATCGATATATACGGAGAGAAATAAACCTCCTAGGAGGAACCCAAGTCCGGGACCTAAGGTAGCCACGGCATAATAAATCCCAAGATATACACCGGAATTTTTTCGAGTCACGCTTTCATCTAAATGCGCTGACCCCAAGTTATAAACAGGCGAGGCGCCGGCCCCGATAAGTAACTGCCCAAGAACGAAAACCATCAGATGATACCATTCCGAACTTCGGCAATTTTCCGACGAACTTGTGCTGTTGCGTAGAGTTTCGTTCAAATAACATAGGTCGCTAGATCCTGCGATTCTGGGTTCGTATTCGGCTACCAATAGCTGTGGTAGGGCAAAAACCAGACAGCCCAGGCCCAGCACAATTGAACCAGCCCCCAGCCATTTGGATTTGTGTGAATGGCCGATATAGCTGACGAGTAAGGTCACAAGTGTATTGCCGATATCATAACACGAAAATATACTCCCTACTTCGCTACTTCGTAGATAATATCGCTTTTCGATCGACGAAATAACGACCCCTGACAAACCGGTGACTATCAGGCTTTGTGTACCGACGAGAATGCAGCAGAATACTAGAATCCATCGAGAGGACAACAGGCCTTGTAGGCAGCTAGGTTTCAAGCTGAACCACCCGTAGTTTGTAGACTTGAGTTCTTTTGATCCTCGAGGAATTTCCACTGTCTGTGTATTGCCACGTTCGTCTGCGACTTGTGACATTTCGCAATATGTCTACATTGTTTACAACAGCCCGTTTTGCTTTTGATTTAATATATGCATGGAATGACGCATTAAACAAAGAATACTGTCAAACTCGTACGAATTTAATTATAAGGCAAACAATTGTTGCAGCAGCTGCCTTTGTCCTTCGAGGAGCTAGATCACTCTACTATAAATACAATACAGCTGCGACTGAGATTCTTTTGTTCGAAGTTTTGCGGAAAAATGGCTACAATGACGTTGAGTTTCTCGCCTACTGGTTAGCGCAATTCCTACCGACAAGCTACTGGCGTACGTATTGCCCAATGGATAGGCGATCAGTGTCAGGAACCTACGATTTTAACGTCCTTTAAATATCCGGAGAAGTAAAGGTAGCTCTTTCTCTCTTTCTCCTCAATTTTAAAACCTTGAGTCCGCCCAAGGATTGAACCGCAAGCTTGATCACGACACAACAAATGCTGTATATGCGATATATGTTGTGAAGTTGTGTGTGTGGGTTATTTATTGTATATTTTGTTTTGCCAAGCAACTGAATGAGGAAATAAATAGATCGTCAAGAAAATTACCCAATTAAGTAATTTTCAACTTGCATCAAAGATTTCTTTATTGAATAAGTGTTTAATTTTTCACTCATGTGGGAGACGAGTACTTCCAGTTTGACTCAACCATCACAGATTTCTTCCGGTTTCCTCCTGCAGTAACACTGTGGTAGTGACATTGGATCAATAAGAGATGATCCTTACTGGAGTTCTAGGGAGAACGGTTTAGAACTAATAGAGCTATCCCAGTATAAATAAAGTTAGTTTAGTTTAGGTTTCCTTCTGTAGTAACACTGGATCAATAAAAGATGATCCTTACTGGACCTCTAGGAAGAACAGTTTAGAACTATCCAGTATAAATAAAATTAGTTTAGTTTAGGTTTCCTCCTGTAGTAACACTGGATCAATAAAAGATATCTTTACTGGACCTCTAGGAAGAACAGTTTAGAACTGACAGAGCTATCCAGTATAAATAAAGTTAGTTTAGTTTAGTTTTTCTCCAGTAGTAACACTAGATCAATAAGAGAAGATCCTTACTGGACCTCCAGGAAGAACTGTTTAGAACTGATAGAGCTATCTCGTATAAATACAGTTAGTTTAGTTATGGACTCGGGTTTATTTTTGTTGTTGCTCTGCTCAGCCATTGTGGCATTTGATACAAATACTATTTCAGAATGCATTGTTCTGATAGACGTGGAACTTGCATTGACCCTTTATATGTACCATACCATTAATGGATCGAAAGAAATTGCAAATGTTTAATCAAATTCATTTCACTCTGGGGTACCGCAAGGCTCCATACTGGGTCCGCGTCAAGTCTTTTTAATGACGTGCTTTATAGTAAGGCTTGCGAGGTTGCATGTCGTAATCGGCAACTTCGTTTGAAAATTTCAATGCTTCATCAATCCTTCCCCCCCCGAGAAAACATGGCTAGGAAACAATATTTTCATAACTTTGTTTGGTTTGTTCGGTATTTTACTTGAGTGCAGGGTTGGTACTGGTCAGGAAGATTTAAATTCAAGGACTTTTCAAAAGCTTTCAAGGCCATGTATCAGGAAACTCAAGGACAAGTTGTGAAAATGCTGTTCCAACAACTTGTCATCAAGATTTTTCGTGACAGGCTTGTAGCAAGCTTGTCAACAAAGTTGTGAAAATGCTGTTCCAACAACTTGTCATCAAGATTTTTCGTGACAGGCTTGTAGCAAGCTTGTCAACAAGTTGTGAAAATGCTGTTCCAACAACTTGTCATTAAGACCGTTCGTGACAGGCTTGTAGCAAGCTTGTTAACAAGTTGTGACAATGCTGTTCCAACAACTTGTCAACAAGATGTCTCCGCAACAGGCTTGTAGCAAGCTTGTTAACAAGTTGTGACAATACTGTTCCAACAACTTATCATCAAGACCGTTCGTGACAGGTTTGTAGCAAGCTTGTTAACAAGTTGTGACAATGCTATTCCAACAACTTGTCATCAAGACCGTTCGTGACAGGTTTGTAGCAAGCTTGTTAACAAGTTGTGCCAATGCTGTTCCAACAACTTGTCAACAAGATCTCTCCGCAACAGGCTTGTAGCAAGCTTGTTAACAAGTTGTGACAATACTGTTCCAACAACTTGTCATCAAGACTTTTCGTGACAGGTTTGTAGCAAGCTTGTTAACAAGTTGTGACAATGCTGTTCCAACAACTTGTCATCAAGA